ATAATTACAATTACATTATCTCTCTGCTAGAGTCAACACTTTTCGATGCGCTAACTTGCACGCAGAGTATCGTTAAACACAATGTCCAGTCTTTTTAAAAATGAGAAGTAATCGAGGCCTATTAAACGCATTACTTCCCTATGAATCTATTTCAGCGTTCACTCTCGTAGATTATCGCGTTAGTGTAAGCGTCGTGACCGCAACAGATTTTGTTCACTGTTGATACAAAGCTTATTTTAGTTAAAAACATATCAAGAAAAATGAATTCATATAATGAACTTTACAGTGTTTTACAAAAGCTCGATCCCTTGTCTGATTCTCTTTGGCCTTACCTAATCAGTTTGTGTGTTGGATTAATCATTGTGATAAAGTACGTGCGTGCGTTGACGAATATAAAATAGTAATGTAAAATTAATTAATACAAAGTTAAAAACTGTATAAAAAAAAAATATATATATATATATATATATATATATATAGTTGTAATAACTGTAAAAATTGATTAGAGAAAGAAATAAGAACTCGCAAACAAAGATATCAATAAAAAAATAGGAAAAAAGGCAATTCGAGTTCAAGGACTAATAGTGCTATATACCATATGGGTAAAAAACCTTCCTTGTGTTAGGAAATCGTGTAATTTATTGAACACTAGAACACCACATAGCGCGCTTCGCGCGCACCACTTTAGCCTTTTCGTTGTACTATTTACAATCTATATTACAATACTCGTTTTTATATTTCAAATTATATTTCCAGCAAACACAGTGTTACATATAACATACATGTTAGCTGTAATTTCCTATTCAACAATGTAACTGTTATATAACACGTATATTATATAACAGTTATATTGTTTGTTGAGTACGAAATTACAACTAACATGTATGTTACATGTAACATTGTGTTTGTTGGGATTACAATAAATATCAAATTTATATAACGCGAACAACACAACCTGATCTGTCACCGCGGCTGACAGCTGCAAGCGGCACGAATTCAACTGCGACGGGATCGAGACAATCGAGACGGTCGAGACGGCCAATTAGCGTCGTGGAAAAGAGGCTTCACCCACTTCGATACATTCGAGATTTAGTTAATATGAGATTAGTTAATACGCACTTTTTCTGATAGGATTTGTTCACGGAACATATCATATATTTTCAAGGTTTTCCAAGTAACTTTTTTTTTCGACAGATATTTTCTGAATGAATTCTGATATCGTCTTTTTGATATTAACATATATTTAAAGAAGATAACAAAATGAAATTTTTATGTTTTTTCAGAAGCATTCCCACACAGCATAAATCTTTAAAAGACATTCTATACACGTTCTAAGGACATTCATATATTCTAAGAACGTTCTAGCACATTCTCTAAAGATTTTGTTCACTGCATTGAGAATATATATACCTATATATATTGTTACGTCGGGATGTTACGTCCTGGTAGAGAACGCAACACGACGTAAGGCCTCGATCGTACTAGCAGGTCGAGTTACGAGTCAGCGACCAGAAGGATCGCTTTACGCGTGTATCGACGTACGACGAGTGGTCCTTTTTCGATCAGAGAACTGAATCTCTTTATCGCGGACGGACCGAGAGCGGATAAGAGAAATGAAGGGGGAAAAGGGAAGGATTCGAAAAGAAATTGTGATATAATTTGAATTGGAATTTAGATAATTCTTAACGATTACATTTATTTTCCTCGCGGGGTTGTTACAATTTTTATTAACTACTAGCACGGAGACAAAGTACGCGCGTGTGTTTGTGTGTGTGTGTGTGTGGACTTCTGGGTAAGGGTGAGCATTAATGCTCAGGATCATTGGGAGGTGAAGAGGGTGAAAAGTAGGTCGTGGGGGAAGATGGAGGAATAGGTGGAGGTGCTGGACGAGGAGGCAGATTTTGAGAAGAAAAAAAGGAAAACCGCCAAGTGGGGTGGAAAGGGTGGTAGGTTTTTGCTGATCCAGGAGTCTAGGTAACGACCTGTGCGTAATCCGGGACAAATACTGTACGCGAGCTACTCGGAGTTAAAGTTTTGATATTGAGGGGAAGAAAACGAGTAACAAAACGATAACTTACTGTTGATGTGCGATTTGGAGGAGAGAGTAACTGTTGCTGGATTTCTCAGTCGGGCCCCCTTCGATCCTCGTTTGAATAGAACCTGGTATTTGTGTGTGAGGGTTGCGGACGATCGCACGATGAATACAGCAATAAGCACAGAGAGTTGAGTAGCTGAACTCTTAGGGTACTTGGATTTTTCCTCAGTGGTAGTAGAAGCACAAGAGTAAGAGAAGTCCAAGAGAAGTGACGTCCAAGAGAAGTGAGGTAAAAAGAGCGTAAGAAGAGGCCGAGGTGCGCGGAGTCGCGCTTATATACGATATTAACTGGAAATGGTTTGGTAGGGAAGATGTGGAAATTTGGGGGTTCCTAGGTTGTTGGATTCGTCAGAGAAAATGGTATGGGGGACTGTTGTATCCAGTAGTAAGTAAGTAGACAGTGTTAAGGAAATCTTCTTGGCTGGGGTTGTGGGTGGAGAAAATCATACATTTCAAAAGAGAAGGTTATTGGAGGATTTTTAAGGTGGTGAGGGAATCAGCAGATGAGGCGGAACCGGATAACGTAAGTTAGAAAATGTAACGGACATAATTTTTTGTTATCCAGCGGTTCCTTTGATCCCAAGGATAAGGTCCGGCGAAGTTTACTTTGCGGATTAAGGAGTTTTAGTGCTGTATTTCCCAGGGTTATTTCGGAATTTTAGTCGGAATTTTTATTGGGGAAAGACGAAAAGCGGTCTTACGATTCGGAATTGTTTGTTGTTTTCCCGACAGAGGAGGCAAAGATAGAGTGCATGACTCATGCTGCACAGGACGTAACAATATATATATATATATATATATATATATATGTGTGTGGGAACATAACTCACTATTTTTACATTTTTATCGCATCAAAGACCTTTAAAAACTCGCTTCCTTTCGTGCCCGATTTCTCGGGCCCCATGCACCCTACCCAAATGAGACATAGTTCGTCGTCTTCAGTTTATCGAGATCTTTAATTTGGTATACATATCGACCCCATATTGGACTGCCGGGAATATAGGCACAGCGCTCATATCTATTTGACCGCCCTCTTTACTTCGATGAATCATATTTCAACGGACATACTTGGATGAATCATGTTTCAACGGACAGCGGCAAACACTTTGTATTTGCTCTATTATCAATGTTTCATGCTAACATCACTTAACATATTTCTCTAAAAGTATATAAATATATAAAACCTATGCAAGATATAAGAAAAGTTTTTTTGTAATGTTCTCACGATCGCGTAACGCATTTTACATTTTCTCAAGCATTTCTAAGCTGCCTACATTTAACGTATATTTATTCTATGGCTACGTTTCGAATTTTCTCTGAA